CTTTGATGTTCAATAGTGTGCCAATGAGACTATCAAATACGTTCTTCTCCACATGCATAAAATCAATGCAATGTCTCACATCTAGATGACTCCAATATGGAAGGTTAAAGAAAATTGATCTCTTTTTCCACAAGCTTTTATCAGACGACTGTTTTTTAGTCTTTCCAAAGACAACATTAATGTTTCCAACTTTCATCAAAGAGTCAACAGTACTATAATGAGTTTGAAAGAAACAAAGGAGATGAGTTTGAAATAAACAAAGGAAATGAGTTTGAAAGAAAAATTCTAAACAAAATAAAAGGAAGAATATCAAATTCAAATAAATAGATATTAAAGTAAAGAAGATAGTCGAAAATATTACTTTATTATCTTTTATTTAAATTAGGTATTAAGAGATTTTATTATATTTTTAAAGAGAAGATAAAAAGATATTAGATTATTATTTTGATTTAAGCAGTTATAATTGAGATATTATTAATATTTAATATTTTGTAATATTTTTACTTTATATATACACAGAGTATATAAATAAAAATTAAATAAAATTATTTTTTAAATATAAAATATATTATTATATTTTTTATAAATAATAATGATTTTTTTATATAATTTTTTATTTTTTTCACTTTTTTCATTTTTTACATTTTAATTTCATAATTTTCCCCTTTTTATCACTCTTTGTCTTGCACGTTTTTTTTTTATTCTTTCACTTGCATGTTTTTTTTTTACTTGTATTTTTCCGTCACATTTTCATCCTAAAATTTATAAATTATTCTTTTTAATTTTCATTTTTTTCTTAAAATAAACAATTTTTCTGTATTGTTTTTTTTATTATTATAGGTATTACCACATATATTATTTAATATAAATTAATTAATTATTTTAATATTTTATGACATTCAATTTTGATGTTAAAATATAAAAAAATTAAATTTTAAAGATGTTTATAAAAAATTATACATTTATTTTTCAAAAAAAATATATATGACAAAATAAATTTTAACTTAGTCAATTTAAATTTAATAAATAATATTAAAAACATTATTAAGTAATTTATAATATAAATTATACAATAATTAACATTTTATAATATAAAATATTGTCAAACACATATAAAATATATTTAATTATATTTATTTATTTTATATGTCAATATAATTTATAATTTTTAATAACTTTATATAATAAATATATTATATATAAATAATTTTAGTATATATTATATTCAATTTGTCCCTTTCCATTAAAAATTTCTGATTCTACAACCACCACAGAATCGAGAAATTAGTCATTTAATCTATTATCTAAATAATTAAAACTATAAAACTAATTTATTAAATAAATAGATGAAGTGATAACAATTTGACAAAATGAGACAAATACCAGTTAAAAACTTGTTTAGAGTGGTTCAACAATTTTTTTACTTAAAAATAAAAAATGTAATTATTTATATTTTTTTATAATAACTTATTATCTTAAAAGAATATTATAATGCATATTAAAACTCAAACTTAAATTTTGTTGATAAAATTATTTTTTAAAAACTTATAAAATACATTATTTGATGTTTTTTAAGTTAAAGTTTTATAATATTGTATTTCTCTAATTATATTTTATATATTATTTATTTATTATATTATTTCATTAATAAAGATTGAACCCGAGATAAACCTTGAATAGGTAGGTATCTATGAACTTTGAATTGATATTTTAATTTTCAAAATAATGGTTTCAATTCAACTTTGTTCTGGAATAAAAGAGAGATGTGTTTTTAGGTTTTTTTCTTCCTTTTTATAATCTCAAATTTTCCTTTAGGGTTTTTCTCCTAGCATATCTATCGGGGCCAATGTGTACATAGTACGAGGAATAAAATATTATTGGACCCGATAGATGCGCTAGAAGAAAAGGGAAATTTGATTATAAAGGAAAAGAAAAAACCTAAAAACATATCTCTCTTTTATTCCAGAACATTGGTCCACTGTGGGACAGGTAAAACTTTTCCTACTCCACATTCAAAACAATGATGGTGACTCTACCAACAATTAAGACCCTAACTGAGTTTATAGACAAATCCTCAAAGGACTCGTTAGACGCACCCATTGTTCCTCTCTTGCTCCTTACTCCCTTCGTCTCTGCAACTGCCCGGAGTTGCACAACCACAAGCCCTAACTCTCTCCAAAACGCACCCGTTTTGTTCCCTGGCTGTTCGTGCGATTTTTGAATACTCAAATTATTTTTCATTGTGATGTATAAGGAGAAGAAGATGAAAACAAAATAAGATGTTTGGTGTGAGTGAAAAGAAGAGAAATAATTTTAAAAATATGGAATTCATTATATTATTTCTCGTATATTTTATTAATTATTTTTAATTTATGTTAAAATATTTTAAAATATGAGATTAAATTTTACTTGTAGTAAGGTAAAAATTTAAAATAAATGATGTTATTATCTTAAAATCTCATTAACATATTTATCTTTAATTTTAAAATATCTTTAGAAACAATAAAATTAAATTAATATTGTGATTGATAATAGATGAGATCTTATCTAACAACTACAAAAATATTAAGAAAAAAATAAATAACAAACATCAAAGTCATTCTATTGCATTTCATGTATAAGTATCTTCTTTCAACATTGAACCCTAATTATTATAGTTTTTTTTAAATATTTACATTTATCTTTTTAATGTGTAGTTAGTATCAAACATATTCATTTTTATTCTTGATTTATCAAAAAGTGTTAATTAAGATACATAGTGATTTCAAAATCACATCTATCATATCAATTTTAAAAAAAATAAAATATTATTTTAAATTATGAAAAATATAAATTTGCTTATGGATGTATACAACTTTGTGGATGTCATAATCTTAAGGATTGAAGAAGGTGTACTCAAAAGAAGAAAAATTTTGGATTATTTCTTTTAGAAAAATAGCAATCTCAATCTTTCTTTATTTAGATAATGAATTAATTGGAAAATATTATATTCAATTATTGACCATTTTTTTTTCACAATGAGAATGTTATGAGTTATCCATGCTAGCTATAATCTTTATAGTTATAATTTATTCAGAAAAAATTAATAAATTGTTTATTGTTTTAATGGTTTATTTAGGATGAAAAATTAGATTGAATATATTTTGTAATGTATTTAAGATGATCCAAATTTTTTCCATTTCTCTTAACCAATTTATAATCAACACTCAACACTCCAATTCATACGAAGTCTTTTGTTACTATGGTCTGAATGCGACCTATGCTCGAAATGCCAACAATGTGCGAAATGCGCACTATGTACGAAATACGTACTATGGTCAGAATGTGACTTAGACTCGAAACACGAGCAATATGCGAAATGCGCACTATGTACGAAATACGTAATATGGTCAGAATGTGACCTAGATTCGAAACGCGAACAATGTGCGAAATGCGCACTACGTACGAAATACGTACTATGGTCAGAATGTGACCTAGACTCGAAACGTGAGCTATGTGCGAAATGCGCACTATGGTCGAAATGCGACTTATACTCGAAATGCGAGCTATGTGCAGAATACACACTATGGTCTAAATGCGACCTAAGCAGGTTAATCTTCGTCTAAATTCAAGTACACGCGGAAGTAATTTTTACACTCTACATCAAGACGACGGTCACTGTAAGTATGATTTTTAAGGGTTGTTTATTCCCATTAAGTGGTTGAACTTTGCAATTATATCATGAAATATTAAGGAATGAAGTGTATTCGACGTTTATTTCGGTTTTTAATCTTTGCATTAGAAATATTTTTCTAATTTAAGACTTGGGGGTTGTGGTATGTGTATAGAGATTGGGTCTCGTTGGGTTCGGGTCCAACTGCATGAGTAAAGTAGGTCAAGATAAACATATTTTAGGGAGATGTATTTCATTGATAACTTATGAGCCCAATTTATAAATAGTACGAGAAATAATTAGATATTATTAAGCTGAATAGATGCGTTACCAAAAAAACCTTAAAAGAAAATTTGATCTAAGAAAAAAACTTAAAATCACGTCCCTCTTCTATTCCAAGAAGAAACTTACATGGTAATGGACTTTTATTTAAAAACTAGCTACTTCAATAGTATTAAAAAGTAATTTATACCATTTTGTGTATAAAAAAATTGCTGCCAGTATCCATAATAGACTCTTCCCTGTCAAGTTTGTGTCAGAAAAAATGTTTTTGATTTGAGCACTGATATGTCAATAATTCATATAAAAAATTTATTTAATAATCTATTTTATTAATGTAATAATGATAAAATAAAATAAATTTAAAATGAATATTATATTATTAAAAGAAATTGTTAAATAAATGTTTATTGGGAGGAGACGGTCCAAAAATATTTTTTCCTTTGGTTTGCTTCCGTCGAAAACTGTGGGTCACCTATTTTAAACAATTAACTTGCACAACACGAAAAATCTTCTTCTCCTCTTTTGGAAGAGTTCCTATATACTTGGTCTCCAAGGAATAATAAACTTTCAATAAATGATCAATTATGGCTGCAATCAAATAAATTTTGTTAACTCTTTTTGTGAATTTATTCTTAAATGATTAAATATATCATAATAAATTATTAAAGCATAAAAACATAGAATTAAAAAGTGGAAATTTTGAAAACATATTTTTGACAATTTGAAAGGAATCTTGCGAAGAAAATAATCTCCATAACACTATTCTAGAAAATTCATGCCAACTAACTAACACTCATCCAACGCGTCAAAACCTTATTCACCTTCGTGTCTCATAAATTAACCATTCATTTTTTATAGATTATATTATTATTCTTCTTATTATTATAAACCCTCATGGTCACGATAAGTCATAACTATATATGTATCGAGATCTTCCTTAAACCCTTCTCTACCATAACATAGCCAACAAAACTGGCATTTTCTCAAAACTTTCTGATTTCCTGGACTCAATCTATTTCTCTGTTTCCTGTTATTCTATCTGAGCGTAGAGTGCGGTGTGATGATGATGATGATGAGTCGCGGTGGCACGAGCCGTGTGGCCAACACTGCAGTGACGGTGGCGAAGGGTTTAAGCTGTGAAGTTGGTGGTTTGAGGAGTGAGAGCACCCTGGCTTTGTCAGAGAAGGAGAAGACGGAGAAGAAGGTTGATTTGTCATGTGCTGGTGGAAAGAAAGAGCAGAAAGGGATTATGAGTTATTGGGGCATTGAATCCTCTAAGATCATCAAACAAGATGGCACAGAATGGAAGTGGAACAGTTTTAGGGTATGTGCATGTTTTTTTTTGTTCATTTTATGAAAGATGGGATTAATTAATGATGATGGTTTTGTTTTGTTGATGAGAAGCCTTGGGAGACATACAAATCAGATGTTTCGATTGATCTGAAGAAGCACCATGCACCCACCACGTTTCTCGACAAAATGGCTTTTTGGACTGTCAAAGCTCTTAGATACCCCACCGACGTGTTTTTCCAGGTATTTTGGATGCTTTCCCACTCCACAAGGAACAAAATCAAGTAATGAAATTTTTTTTTTTTCGTTCTTTGGAAAACCCTTTTTAATGAGAATATAAAATATAAATTTTTTTCATCTTATTTTATAATAATAAACAGTAAAAATAATTTCTGTCACTGTTTTTTTTTCTCCTCTTTCTAGTTATTTTATTTCTTAGCTGTCTATTTTTTTATGTCTCTCTTTTTCTACTTTACACCCAAAATAAATACAGTATATATACTGATCTTATTCCGTTTTTTTTTTTTCAAAGGAAGATATATGTCTCCTTCAATTACTTCGATTTTTTTCATTCTACCTTTAATTATCTTCCCTTATACCCAAAATTAAAGTATTTTTTCTTATTTCTCTCCGAGGATACGGAGGAAGATGCTTCTACTTGTCCTCTTTATTTATTTTTGTTTTCACATAAGAAAAAGATTAGTAATTTAATATATGAATCTTCTTTAAGGATTTTTTTTTTTTTAATGCTACGTACAAATTTCAAATATATTGTACCCGTATATATGTTATCTTTTTGTTTTACCTGATTTATGTTTTAAAATTACAAAATTAAAAAATAATTTTAATTATTAAGCATATTAACTTCTTTCAGGGATATAACGTATTAAATTTTGTTGCCCGTTAAATTGAATTTTTAAATAGAATAATTTTATTTAAAAAACTGGTTTGGCCCATGGTATTTTAAAAATAATTTTTTTGTATTCGTAAATAAAAACATTGTTATCTACTGGTTTAATATTTTTATATAATTTTTGTATATGGGAATCTTATTGGGTGGTTTTGTTTCTACTTAAAATAAAGATGATGCGCATAATGCATGTGATGTTTACATGTGGTTTGGTTATAGGAGAGTTGGAGAAGTAGCACATGAAAATAAAACGATCCAGTATTCTTTCATAAACTCTTCCACCTTGGGTGCCCACTCGGTTTTATTTAGTTTTCCACTTCCCATATGCGATTACTGTTTAATAATAATAATAATCTATCTAAAGAATAAAATAATTGTCATATTTCTCAATTGAGTTGTTATAAATTGTTAGGGATTAATTAAGTTTTAATTTTCGTTTTCCCTGCGTATGAATCCTAGTTGATGAGCAAGTTTCTCCAGAAAAATCTCCGGTAATTCAGGAATTGGTTGAGTAGTTACCACTTTTGTACGGACACAAAAAAAATTGTCATGAAATTGAAGAGAAGTGTATAGTATATGAAACTGTGCGTGTTTTTAGAGTAGTTGAGCAGGCTTTGATGAGTTTTGCATTGTACAAATTATGTATGAAGTTTAGGGTGTGTGGAAATGTAACAGAGACGATATGGGTGCCGAGCAATGATGCTAGAAACAGTGGCAGCAGTGCCTGGGATGGTAGGAGGCATGCTACTGCACTGCAAATCCCTTAGAAGATTTGAGCACAGTGGGGGTTGGATAAAAGCACTGCTAGAAGAAGCAGAGAATGAACGGATGCACCTAATGACGTTCATGGAAGTGGCAAAGCCCAAGTGGTATGAACGTGCTCTGGTCATAACTGTGCAAGGTGTTTTCTTCAATGCATACTTCTTGGGGTATTTAATGTCACCCAAATTTGCACACCGCATGGTTGGTTACCTTGAGGAGGAAGCAATTCACTCCTACACAGAGTTCCTCAAGGAATTGGACAAGGGCAATATAGAAAATGTGCCAGCACCAGCCATTGCCATTGACTACTGGCAGCTCCCCCCAGACTCCACTTTAAGGGATGTTGTCATTGTTGTCAGAGCTGATGAGGCACACCATCGTGATGTCAACCACTTTGCTTCGGTAATTAATCGTATACATATGAGGAGTTAAATATTCAATGGTTTTTCCTTTTACTTGCTCAAATGAATTCGCAACAATACTCATGGTATTCTTTTTCTTGTAATCAACTGCAGGACATACACCACCAAGGACGTGAGTTAAGAGAGACTGCTGCTCCAATTGGTTATCACTAGAGTCCATCTATGGCTTGGGGTGTGAAATTTTAAGACAAATACTGATTTTGGTTACTGAATAAATGAAATTTCTGGTAACTGATAGTATACAGTGGTTTTCTGGTTATGTCTAATGATGTCAGTGTAAATAATGTAGTCGAGTCTTTATTTGTTCAAACTCATATTTGAATTGGAGTATTTGTAGTTCTTCCTTGCACTCTTCAAAATGTAATTGGGGCTATATGATACATGATATATTTCACTTACTAATTCCTTGATTCATTCCATTTGAATATGGGTTTTCCTTCCTAGGGTTTCTCCTTCTTGAAGATCAATGAGAAGAAAGAATTGAAGTTAAAGTCTACTTGTTACTGTCATGGAAGATCATTATAAATGGCACCAAAATGGAAATGCCCGGTATTTAATATAGACAAGCTAAGATCAGTCCATGTTACAGAATTTCGTTGGCATGGTACAAATTTCTTTTCCATCTTCCTAAGTTATACTAAATCTTATTTTGCAAATATTATTTTATTATTTTTTATTTAAATTAAGTATTAAAAGATTTTATTATCTTTAAAAAAAATAAAAAGATATTAAGTTATTATTTTAATTTAAGAAGTTATAATTAAAATATTATTGATATTTAATATTTTTACTCTATATATATAAATAATATATATAAATAAAAATATATCCACATAATATATATATATATATATATATATATATATAACCTTAAAAATTTCCAATTTTATTCATTTACGAGAATTTCACTACATAAGTTCCTAATTTAGACCTACATAGATTCAACTGTATTGAAATTTATTTCAACTAGCCTACAAGCTCTGGTTTAATGAGATATAATGATTGGAGTTGCAACATGAGTTTTGTGCCCCCATCCCAACTTAATGAATTTGCCAACAAACGATATAGAAATATGAAAAAAAAACAGTATTTTTATGCTTATTTAATTGCATAAACTAATATTTTTTATTACAAAATATTTTCATTCTTAAATAGAATACGAAGTTCTTATTGTCTTACATATAAGTAAAAATGACTTAGACAAAATCTCTTTAATGAAAACTTTTTCTTGTTCAGTTACTTGTAGTTCCATGTGTTAAATTAACCTTTATTTTATTCTTACATTTATTTTTATTTTCAAAATACATTCAGTATTGACCGTGTTAAACACGTTCTGAAACATTCAATTCGAATGTTTTTTTGAAAAAATCAATACAAAAATATATTACGGATGAGATGTTTTAAAATGTATTTTTTATTAACTTTTTTGAAAACACTAAATTTAGAATGCATTTTTAAAAAGGTTTTTCCAGAAACGTACTCTGAAACACCAATTTTGGAATGTGTTTCGGAAAAAATCTATCCAAAAATATATTCTATATTAAATATTTAAAAATGTGTTTTCAGAAATATCAATATAAAAATACATTATGAATTAATTTTTTTAGAATTCAACCTTATTTCTAGAGTAATTTTGATCTATTTGTACAATTTGAGTAAAAAAACATATAATTCATACCTAATATTAGTAATTTCTTACAACTAATTGTTAGAAAAAAATCTTCAATGGAGATGATAGCACAAAAAAAATATATAATCAAATGATAAAGGTGTTAAGGGATAGAAATGTAAAAAAATTTGGGTAAAAAATAAAATTATGAAAAATATATTTTAAATATTTGACTATACAGAGTTGTAATTAGAGAAATTATGGGAATATATATTTTTTTTAATTTTAGAAATTAGGGTAAAAAATTAGGATAAAAAATAAAATTATAAAAAATATATTTTTTATTTTTTTTTCCGTAACAAGAAAAAGAGAGGAAATAAAATAAATTTTACATTAAAATAAACTTATATATAAATTAAATTCATTATCTCTGTTTCCACGTCTCCCAATTAGAAGAAATAATGTCAGGATACTTAATTTTTTTTAAATTTTAGAACTTGCTAGGATGAATTTCCCCAAAACAAGAAAATGAGAGGAAATAAAATATGATTTAAAAGGCATACAATATGTATGATTCAAAAGGGCTTCGAAAGATTCGTAATTATGCACAACATCATTTCCCAAGCACAATTCCACACTTTTATTGATTAAAGTTCAACTACACAGAACAGGGATCCAGATGAAAAGGAGAAAGGAAACAGCGCAGAAATTCAGATGCGTAGTTTTTAGGTGCATTTTCTGTAGCAGCACTACTCGGCGTTAGGAACAATTCAGAGACCTTGTATAATGACCAGTTAAATTATTATGGAATTCTTACAACCTCGTATTGATGGGAAATTCGAAGAGGGGATTGCTCTGAAACAGGCCTACTCTCAGACCAAAGCTCCAGATTGACAGTGCCACAATCCCAGTGAACGAGACACTTAAATACCTCACTGACACTAAATCGGTTGACCAGTGCCAAGCCAAGACATTTATCAATGAGCTTCCATTCACCTGAAATGAAATTACAATTAAAATTTTATATAACTCTGATGTCCACATCCAGAAGGTTGACATGAAAATTAAACTAGAGTATGAAAATAGTTAACGAAACCTAGACGTGCCACCTATTAGAACGTTGGTTTTTAAAATGCATGTTGGATTTTTTGCCCGTTTCGGTTGGGCCAAGTAGGAAAAGATGGCATGTGAAAGAACAGGCATGTCACCAATTGATTTAAATTGTTCAAGATAATTTCTGATTTTGCATAAATAAACTTCTTCAGAAAGTGTCTCAAACTCACAATCTAAATCCCTCTGTAGGCTGACATCACATTCAAACTGAAACCCAGTCATAATTATAATTTTAACAAATAAAAAGTCGGCTTCAAAACAGGTTCCTGTTATTTTTAAAATTTTTGGTTTTAGTCACCTTATCCTGTAAACATTTGGTTAAAGTTCTATAATTTCGAAACCTCAGAGAATTGGTCCTGCCATGCCTACATTTCGGTTTTGGTCTTTAATCCTTTGTAGTTTTGAAAACGCCAGGACTATTGTTTGTAAAAACACCATGACTAGTTCTTAGTGGTTTTAAAATATAGTCACTCAAAACCAACTGTTTCAAGTGCGGAGACCAAAGCCAAAATTGAGAATAATTATAGACACTAAAAATGAGTTAAAAACTAAAATCTCCCCATACAAAAACTGAAATTTCAGTCTCAGTTTCATGTTTAAAGTTTAAAACACAAGCAAGCATGACAGTTTCTCTTCATTTTTATATTTTTGTTTAAAAAATTCAATATTTTGAATTTAAATTAATATATTCGGTCATGGGAATAAATTTTATTCACGTCAGCCAAACAAATAAATTTATTCTTTTATATGATTTTATCACAGTAGAAGTTCGAGCATTTCATATGTGGGTAGTAACGAGTTAGGAAAAAGAAGAATTGCTTGGGAAGCTTTAGGCGAAGTGTGGATATTACCATTAGGAATGAGGTTTCCTTCAAAGAATTGCTCTCCACCATCAGGAAAGACTTCATGCACCGATCCATCCATTGAAGTAAATGAAACAAAAGACTCTGACGGATGCAAAACATTGAATGTTGGGTGAACTCGTAAGCAAACCAACCTACAGAAAATACAAGGAAGCAGAGTAGAAATCAGAACATAAGACAACTCAGAAACATTTACAGTAGAGAAAATAACAAACAAAAAGGATATATTGTTCATTAACATCTCACCTTTCCACTAGATCCTCACGCACAATATAGTCATAAATACAAAAACTTGTCACACAAAGCAAATACTGTCTTTTAGATGACTAATCATTCTAAGTGCATGCTTGGGCTTAAGTTTATTGATGAATATTAATCAAATGTGAAACATATTCTGTTAGAAATAGCCTCTATGATAAATTTCAATCCTTGTTATCCTCATAATTCTAATAAGTTTAATTTCAGTAGTATGCCTATGAATTATGCACATTTCGGCTAAGAGCTTCCCAAGCTTTTGCATAGTTGGTTCATTATATATTGGTAGATATTTTAGATATTATTAATCACAATATATGTATTTTTCATATTTATTTGTATGATTCTTAATTATAAATATATTATTCTATGTATATTTTAGACACAAGATAAGTTAATCCTATACCTAGTTTTTCATTATATTCAACATAATATCCGAAGCTTAAGTTCTCTTTTTCATCACGACCATCACTGCCCTTGCACCTGTTGCCGCTGGAGCCGCTAACATCACCGTTAGAGTTACAGTTCAGACCAACGACCACATCGTTTTGCTCGTCTCGAATAGGCAACCACCACGCCATTGAGATTGTCGCGATCAGAATCTCCATGCACCATTTAAAGTTTTTAGGGTTTTCACTCTCTTTCTCCATGGCTTCTTCCGTTGTCTCTTCCGATATCTCTTCTTCTGCAAAAGATTGACAAATGTTATGCAATACACGGTCGTCCTCCTCGATCTGTTGCAGTTTTTCAAATTGATCCTCCCTCACAATCATCTATTGTGAATCCTACTTCATCTTATATCGCAGACAAATATGTTATTTTCAATGAATTTTTCAAATGGTATGGGATCATCAGAACTCTAATTCCACTACTTTTGTTGCAGGCACAAGTACATCTTTTATTGGACTAACTCAACCTCCTTCTCTTGGACCTTGGGTTCTTGACTCAGGCGCCACAAATATTTACCTTTGTCTCAAATCTTTGTTTTCTTATTTATCCTCTCCAGATAATTTACCTTTGATTACAATGGTTGATGGGTCTAGGGTTTTGTCTCATGGTATTGGTGCTGTTAAAATTTTTCCATCTTTATGTCCATGAGTCTCCCTTTAACTTATTATCCATTAGTTATCTAACTCGTTCTCTTCATTGTCTAATTTCTTTTACCAAAGATTCTGATTGTTTACAGGACTGGAGTTCGAAACAGATGATTGACACCGGTGAGTCTCATGGTCTTTATCATCTCTACCCTTCTACATATGTTGGTACAATTATGTAGTCTTCATCTCTCCTCCATGCTTAGCTAGCCAGTCTTGCCAAATTGCAGCTTGTTCCCAGTTTGTCCAATTTATCTAGTTTATTATGTGAGTCATGTCAATTAGAGAAACATAATTGTAGTTCATTTCCTCGTAGTGTCTCACAACGTGCTTCGTCTCCTTCAGCATTAGTTCACTCTAACATATAGGGACCTAGTCGTGTTAAATCTAATTTAGGTTTTCAGTATTTTGTTACCTTTATTGATGATTATTCCAAAAGTACTTGGTTGTTTTTAAAGAAAAATCGTTTTTTGTTTTCTATATTTCAATCCTTTTTTAATGAAATTAAAACTCAATTTGGGATCTCTATTTGAACTTTGCGAAGTGATAATGGCCGTGAATACCTTTCTCGTTCTTTTAAACACTTTATGGCTTCTCATAGCATTCTTCATCAAATGGTGAGATTCCTAAACATTTTTGAGGTGATGTTGTTCTTAATGCATATTATCTTATCAATAACATGTCATCTTCGATTCTAAATAATAAAATTTTTCATTCTCTGTTTTTTTCTTCATAGACCTCTACATCCCTTACCTCTTAAAGTTTTTTTGTCTACATATTTTGTTCATAATTTTAATCATGGTCTTGATAAGTTATCTCCTAAATCACACAAATGTATTTTTTTAGGATTTACTCGATAAAAAAAAAGAATATAAATATTTTTCTCCTTCTCTTAACTATTATTTTATTTCTACATATGTCACCTTTAATGAGTCTTCCTTTTCCTTTAAGTATCCTTCTTCTCCATGTGTATCGCCGTGTGCTACAGTCAATGTTCCTGTTGTGTGTGATTCTCCTATTAGTCCACCTTCGAATCCTCCTCCGCTACTACCACTTCAGGTTTATAGTCGAAGACAATGATCCCAACAACCACCAAATTATTCACTTCTAGTGCCAACTCCTTTATCTCCTCCGACTCCGACAACTGAGTTTTACCTTCCAATTACCCTCCGTAAAGGTATATGTTCTACTCGTAATCTTTCTCCTCATTATACTGCTTTGAGTTACCATAAATTATCTCCACTTTTTTATACTTGTCTTTCGTCCATTTCTTCTGTGTCAATTCTCAAATTTGTAGTGCCTTAGCCCATCCTCGTTGGCGACATCATCGTCTGGGAAATAGTGGAACTTCTCTTTATCCAGTGGCAAATATGGCTTTTGTGACTACTCTTCAACAATGACCTCTTTATCAACTGGATGTAAAAAATGTTTCTCTTAATGGAGATTTGCCGGAAGAAATTTATATAAAGCAGCCTCCAAGCTTTGTTACTCAAGTGGGTCTTCTGGATTAGTAGGTCGTCTTCAAAAAATTTTATATGGCCTAAAACAGTCTCCTACAAACTAATTTGGAAAATTTAACAATGTTGTTCAACAATTTGGTATGACTCCTAGTGACAGATCATTCAATATTTTACCGTTACTCAAGTATTGGGTGTATCTATTTAATAGTACATGTTGATGATATTGTTCTTACAGGGACTGATCACCATGGCATCTCCCAGATGAAGCAACACCTTTGTCACCACTTTAAAATCAAAGATGTTTGCAAACTTAGATATTTCTTAGGGATTGAGGTAGCACAATTCAATAATGATATTATTATATCTCAAAGAAAATATGCATTGGATATTTTAGAAAAAATTGGGTTGATGAACTCAAAATTTGTTGATACACCCATGGATCCTAATACCAAACTTCTACCTAATTAGGGGGAGCTTCTCTCAGAAGATTAATTGAAAAATTAATCTATCTTACTGTTACTCGTCCTGATATTTCCTTTGCAGTTAGTGTGGTAAGTCAATTTCTTAGTTCCCCATGTGCAAATAATTGGAATGCAGTCATCCATATATTAAAATACATTAAAGAATCTCCTGGAAAAGATTTGTTATATGATCACAATAACAAGGCTAAAGTTGTTTGTTATTCAGATATTGAATGGGCAAGATCTCCTTTTGATAGAAGATCTACTTCTGGATACTTTGTTTCTATTAGAGGTAACTTGATCTCTTGGAAGAACAAAAAAACAAAGTGTTATGGTAAGATTTAGTGCAAAAGTAGAATATAGAGTTATGGCCTTAGTCACTTTGAGAACTTGTTTGACTTAAACAATTACTTAAAAAGTTGCAATTTGGAGATGTCACTTATATATGACAATCAAGTTATTTTTCATATTAGCTCTAATCCTGTATTTCATGAAAGGACCAAATACATTAAAGTTGACTATCATTTTATTCGAGGAAAGATTATATCTAGAGACATTAAGACCGAATTTGTTAACTCAAGTGAACAATTAACATATATTTTCACCAAGTCTTTACAGAGATCTAAAATTAATTATATTTGTAACAAGTTTGGTACATATGATTTATATGTATTAGCTTGAGGGTGAGTGTTAGATATTTTAGATATTATTAATCATAATATATGTATTTTCTATATTTATTTGTATGACTCTTAATTATAAATATTTCACTATATTCAATATATAATCACAAATGAGATATAATGGTAATATTGTAAGGAAACTAGAGGGGAGGCTTCAGATATAACCTTGAGAACCCTCCGGAACCAGCTCCAACACTACGCGCGATTATACTAGAGTCTATCTGGATGATATTGGCAACATTCTTTGGAACATAGATATGACGTCGTAGAACCAATCCTCCACCAATGTCACCCTCTAATGCCACGAGCCCAGGTTCACTACTGAAAATAAAATTGCCACAAAACACGTGTTAAATGAAAAGGTGGGTGGGACAAGAATATATAACATGCTAAAAGAGTATATACAAGACCACATTCGCCTTCGGTGACTCCTTGACAATAATGAAATAAGTAGGAAACTTACTCAATGACAGAATACTCCTCAGAACAGCCAGCAGAGCGATACTCTGTACCACTATACTCCTCGTATCCATGGATCTCAATCCTACTATGGAGCCATTGTGTTCCTGAAAGGAGATTGTTTATTATCATGAACATTATAATTCATATTAAAAACAATATAAATATTTCATCAGAGTGCCTTGGGGAAAATGCAAGCTACTTCTACATTTCCAATCATTTAAAAAACAAAATAAATATAATGCAAATGATGATCAAAGTACCTGAAGGAATGTGTGTCATGGAGATTATTCTACCCCCAATCCAGGGAACAACTTTAAGATCCCACTCACCATTTTTCAGTTCAATGGGAGTTTTTAAAAGTTCTGTTCCCTTGGGTCCAGAAACCTCTTCTGCATCAGGAATTGGAGTTGCATTTTCTGCCAAATAAAAAATGCAGAAAGCAGCACACCTTAATATAGAATTGAAATTTATGGGATTCTTGAATGCATGTTCGGTACAACTCAAATGTAAAATACAATATAATTTGTAGAATAAACAATTGATCAGCCTCAACTCTTCTCACGAACAGGGAAGAAGAGCTAAAACGCACACAGAAAACTAAAGACTATTCTCAACAGAAGAATAAGAAACCATAACAGCAGATAAAAAGACATGCAAACTACACAGAAAAACAGTGAGGTAAATATCCAAACCAAGAAATACCTTTTAAAAAAATGACATACTAGATCTTAAAAGCAGGTTTGTATGCAATTGTAAAGTTCAATTTAATCTTTATCTTTTTAAAATGATTCAATTTGGTTCTTTTGGTCACATCTACACCTAAAAAAAATTGAGGTTGACATTTTTGTTGGTTTAGAACAGCCATTCATTATTTTAGTTTTTAGTAAGTATGAATATTTTTCTGCCGGTTTTAAACTACCATAATTGCTTTAAACAGGTTCATTGCTTTAAAAACAATAATTTGCCTGAACCCTTAGCATCAACAGAGGAGAAGATTCAGATGTCATTGACTAGAGAGAGATGGGAGCATTTAGGAAGACAAGTTTTGACCAAATTGTTAGCCTCAAATTTGATTTGCTGCAATCTGAAGCTGGCGAACGAGCAGAGATGTAATTTGATTTGAAGAAGAACCCCAACAAACTCCAATTGCCCGAACACAACAAAACCTTGTTCCAATGAACCAAGAAATAGATCCAGATGTCGACATAAACCGCCTTTAACTTGGTCTTTGTTGTTTTTTGAGGCCTGTTCCGTTTTGGAAGGATATTATACACTTGCATTATCATATAACTGTTGTTATTGCCCTTGAAATGTATGAGATGGTCGTGTGAAATTTTACTCCAATCTATGAGATGGTGATGGGATTACCCTCTGCGAAGTTACATTTAGTTCGGCAAAGAAGACTCTATCATGCGGCTAGTTGTCTCTTGAGCTAATGTTTGTGTTCATAGTAATTAGCGGTTCAACACCGCCAGAATTTTGTTTATGCCGGTTAAATAACTATAGGTGGATTTAATCCGTCAAAAAAAGTAAACCTGGGTCTATTTATGTTGTAAGAACGGACATGAAAGAAAAGATCAAACTGAATTGTTTTAAAATCTAAGAGTAATTATTAAAAGATATAGAACCAAATAAAACATTTTATAACATAAAGAACCAAGTAGAACTTTTTAAAAGATAAAGAAACAAACTGAACATAAAAAATAATATAAAAGACTAAACGATTTAGCCAACAAATTAAAATTAATATTCACAAACCAACCAGGGATATTTGAACAAGCACATACCCAAACGGTCCTTGTATTTCTTCTCACTAGTAGACACTAGCTTCAACACCTCATCTTCTGAAGGCAAGATTATTTGCAGAACTTCTCCATCATTTCCCCATGTATCAAGCTGTTTATAAAACAAAATTACATAAATATTCAAAACAGAGTACCAGGTAAAGATACAATGAAGCAGCCTTTTACAGTTACTTTCTGACACAAGTTTCAAATTCTTTGTAGTTTCATCTCACAGAAAAATACATACCATTGCACCCCCACCCAGTAATAATTGAATATGCAGGCGGCGTTTAGGTCTTCCCCATGACCCTTCAGTTTTGTGGACACTCACAGTAACTACAGATGATTTAAGTTCAGCCACATAATGTGTTAATAAAAAATTTCCTTTTGTGAATTCGTATCCATCACCATCATCCTCAAATAGAACACCTTCAGCTTTCCCTGTCAATGATTAAGGGTGAATTTGGGTAAAAACCTTAATTAAACACTTGATAACTAAGTTCTTCTCGAGTAAGGGCTTATGCCATAAATTTCTTGTTTTGATAAGTTGCACCATGAAGCTTATCAAAAGAAGCTAAGGACTTATTGGAATCACAACTATTTTCACAAGCTCAAATAAGATATTTCATTCCTTCCAAAATCCTTGCTAATCTGAAGAGTACAGACCTCAAAAAGATGGCAGTACAAGCATGCCAAGGTATGTTTGAAGGCGTTGACTCACCATGTTCATCTAAAGCCACAAGAAGGGTCAAGTCATCTGATGGATTAGCTTCTCCAACATGCTGAAGAGGGAGGCCCACAGGAACAATTGAACCACCTTTTAAGTATAAAGCTGGCAAATCCTGACATGCCCAGACAGAAAAAAAAATGAAATAAAATCAACTTTGGTGAAAAGTAAATATATAAAAAATATTAAAATAAAATGCAAACCAAAAGGGGCATAAAAAACATTTACCGGATGCACATCATCGAAATCAAAACTTAACCATATCCCCTTAGGCAAAGTAATCTCCATCTTATCCAACCTCTGTCTTGGTAAGGTGCTGATCAAGATACAAATAACATGTTAAAGCAGCACCAATTGTACAGTAACATTGCGTTATACAGCTTTTTATAAAACTTCAATTATAACAAAACATGAGAGCTGCCACCCTAGAAAACAGCATACATCCCATGATCACAAATCACAAATAATTACAAATATTGGTTGTTAATGAATGAAACAAAACATTACAAATTTTTAATATTTACATTTATAATAAGAAAGTGGACAAGGTCAGATAACGGTGGAAAGAAGAATCGACTTAAATTCAAAGAAATACACACATAAACACAAAAGGAGCAGATAACATTAGTGAACATCAATAAACAGGCATAAATCTTTAACCAGAATAGATAAGCTGCGCTATAGATTACAATTATTTTTTGTTTCTATTGTATAAAACAGTGGCATTCCTATATCATATTGTTAATAAATTTTATGTTTTCTACTTATTAAAAAAGTGAAGGATGAACATAACGGGATTTCCCATGATCATATCTAACTTTGTTTTACAAACTGGAAAGAAAAATGAAACTCCTTTTTATCATTCACCCTTTCTTGATGACTAAGGATATACCAAATTTACAGTAAGGATGCACAGAAGCATCAGGAAAACCAGCATATTTCCCATACAGGTATCTCTACAAAGTATAGCAGTGTTATGTAGATTAATGATAAAGTAGTACTGAAGTAGAAGAACCTTGCATACACCAAGACTGGACCAAGCAAAAACGAATTTTCAAGTTTCCTTAGGCTAGGATCTTTTGGATCTGCAAAAGAAAAATCAATAAATAAATATATAAAAATAATAATGTATACAAAGTAAGCTCATATGTCATAATAAAACAAAGACACAAAAATACGTTAACAGAACATGAACCCACCAGCAAAGAAAGTAGGGGTTGCCACTGGAGTGCCCCTTATGTGAGCAAAATAAAAAAGAGTGTAGATAAGTGGGATCAGGCGGTAGCGCCTCGTCAATGCCAATCGGCAAACTTCTTCACACTAAAAGTTAGAGCTGAAGTTAGAGATGCACAAAGCACAATTCTCGTTCAACACATAAATGACTCCTTAGCCTTTATCAGACAGTGCTAGGTTTCCTTAAAAATTAACTAAAAGTGATTCTAATAAAGAAATATACTAATCACACATAACATAGAAGCAAGTACTAATAGCAAATAACCATTAAACGAATAAAATCCTGATTAGGCCAGCAGCAGAATACAATTGTAAATGACTTAATATGTGTGTGCGTGTCCAATGGATATCAAGTTTCAACGAATGGGAAAAAATAGCCATAAAATTATTTTGAAAGTAAACACAGAATAAGTTAATGACAAATGTACACCACCGGAACTTAAAGAGTGAAATGAAATATGTAAGATTATGTATTTATTCTAACTTAAAATTGTTAAGTTGGTACCAAACTAACAATCAAGCTCAATTCATTATTTTACTCCATGCAATATATTATGACAAAAAAATTCAGCACATCATAAGATGGAAACTGCAAGAGAATATGGTTTTATACAGACAAGGATGAGCGAACCTCTTCCCCAAAAGACCAAGGTTCGTGGTCAGTGGTGCCAGCTTCAGAATGCCCTCGGCAAAAGGGAAACAAAGAACCTACACCCATCCACCTTCCAAAAAGCCTAGGTGTCGCATTTCCAGCAAATCCACCAATATCAGGACCTGAAAGTGGCTGACCACTAAGTCCCTGAACAGAAGGAATGCAAATTATCAAGGGAAATATAACATTTATTCAAAGTGATTCTTTTTAGTCATCAACAAACAATCTGGTAAGCTTGAACTATTAGGTAAAGATATTAATGATTTTATATTATATCTCCAACACATAACCTTTTTCAGACTTTAAGCATTAACAACTCACAAGTTATTGAATATTTGTAAAGATCCAACTTTTTATTAGAAGAATGGGGGGTAGCAAGAATTGAACTCTATACCGTAGGTTATAGACAAGTATAATAACATGTCTTGAACAAATAATTTCAAAAGCTCAAACTATTAGGTGAAGATGCACAAATGATCTTACATTTCATCTCTGCGCACTTAGTAGTATTGGTTACATATTGTACTGTATTAATGTATTATACAGCCCTGTAATTCATTCAAAGATAATATTATTTTATTTCGTTCAGATTTTAAGTTTAAGTTGGAAATAAATATTAGATTATAGTAAGACTATAAAACGAAACCACATTTTAAAAACTTCAGAAAAAAAAAAGTGTTACCTATGAAAGAATTAAAGAAAAATATAAACCATTCTGACTATAGACAGTTTTCAAGAAGAAACTTAGGGAAAATTCAATGCTAGTAACATCATAGAATAAAGTATATCACAACTCAAAGAAAACTTGGAAAGCATACTCCATGACATTATCAAATGTAACCTTCTAAAAAATGACTGCTACTTGCAGTAGATTTCTTGTCTAAAGAAGGTAATGTCATGTAGCACCAATTAAAAGTATCATTTGGATGACTAATGATTTCAAAACTTAAGCTAACAACTATTGGATAATGGTTGTAACAACTTATATCCCGCTAGACATATACAATGTGTCCTTCATGTTGAGATCTTATATAGACTAGCGATAGGACAAATTTAATCCTTATAATATTTGATAAGTTCTTCTTTATAAGCTAGTATTGTAAGGATGAGTATACACATATTCTAAGCTTTGCAAGCAACTCCAAAAGTTCTGGTGCTAAGACATCATCAAATGACAATGTTGCTCATGTGAAGTAACATCCATGCTACTGAGAATCTTACCAGCTGAAGTACCATGGAGATACTCATATGAAGATGCTCCCAGGTAGAGAGATTATCTCCAGTCCATGTTGAAGCATACCTTTGGCTGCCAGAAAATCCAGCTCTAGTAAGAACAAAAGGACGCTTATTTTCATTAGCTAGTTGCATGCCTTCATAAGTTGATCTTGCCATCAGTAGACCATACACCTATAGTGAACAATCATAATAGTTGACAAAACTTCATAACTACAAGGTAAGACGCCAAAAACAATCAACAAATGTAAATCATAAACTAAAATCAGAGTCGAGATGCAGGCAGTATCCAATAATATAATCAAGTGCTTTGTAAACAAGTTTATGATTAAAAAACTCCAAAATCATAATAAAGGGGAAAGTATATTACATTATGATAGAATGAATGATTCTGGCAACCTCCCAGTTCACTATCTCCTCTATGAACATTGCTCTCAGGCATTGTTTTTGTTACAACCTAGAAAAGAAATGGGTAAAGAAGATAGAAATGGAACAAACAAAAGAGCCATAATAAGAAGATTTGGATCAAATACTGTTTCATATTATTCACAGAAAAGAAACCAACAAGACTAAGATTACCTTAAAGATAGCTGGTTCGTTCATATCATTCCATATACCATCAACACCATTGGAAATGAAGTCTTGAACTAAATTTGCCCACCATGCACGGACTTTTGACTGTGTATAGTCAGGGAAGACACATGGTCCAGGCCACACCTCCCCTGATAATGTATATATATATATATATATATGGGATAATGCATCACAGGAAGGAGAGAAGAAGGCATGAACAGTCATAATTGATGTAAAAAGCATTGCAGGTCTATTTTGTAAAAACATGAATAGGCACAACAGAAATTACAGAAATATTCGTGTCAAAAAGAAAAACATTACCAACATAAGGAGTTCCATCTGCCTTTTGGACCCAAACATCATTTTTAGAACCACTGTCATATGCAAAATAACCCTCTTCCTGCTTGATTCCAGGATCAAGCATCCAAATAGCTTTAAAACCACTATAATGGAGATCTTTCACTAGAGAAGCAGGATCTTGAAAACGTTCCTGAAAGATATCACATACTTACTTTTCTAAACAGGACAAAAAAATATTGAACACATTAAAACAAATTTATATTATACAAACTATGGAATACATCCACATTGAGACACATGCTGCATGTACTGAACACTAAATCAATTCACCATTAGAAAGATCTAAAATCAAAACTACGACACTGCAAAATGATTATTGGCCCTTTCTCCAGGATTAAAAATCTTACCTTGTCAAAGGTGAAACAACGAAAACCATCCATGTAATCGATATCCATCCATATCACATCACAAGGAATACTCTTTTTCCGAAATGTTTTAGCAACCTGAAAATTTAAATTTAAATGATTATTAAGTTAAGACAAAACATGCTTCTGAGAAGTAAACAGATAAAGTTAGAATCTACAAAGTATGTTGACAGCCATGTATATATCCTAAATTCCTAGCTATTTTGAATATCTACATATATCCTTAATTTATCTCGTACGCATGAAAGTTTTGGAATACCATGTTTAGCATGAGAGCTGAAACTGGATGATGTAATGTCTACATTTTCTAATGATTACAGATTTTCTTATTCAATTACAAACAAATAGTTTAAACAGTGTTTATCCGCATTAGATTCCCAGACATCCTGGATTCCCATATCTATTGAAATTGAATGGTATGCCATAAAGAAGAAACTTGAAATCCTACCATAAGCATGTATCATCCCATACAAAAGGCCAGATATTTTACATATTATAATACAGACACACCAAATACAACTTAAAATGATTTCATCTTTCTTAACCAAAAAGATAGTAATTAAGCACACAAAAATTATAGGAAAACAGTCAGAACATGGAACACAAGTCATATTCAGATTCTACAGCTTTCTACATACATGAATGCAACTAATCTTAGAGTCATCACTGCTAGAAAAAAACAAGTACCTCCAGAACTCTCTGGTCAGATAAATAACTCCAACGGCATTGGTGATAGCCTAATGACCATTTTGGGGGCATAAATACAGTTCCTGATAAAGAAATATTTAAGGAAGAATATTTAAACAAAATGTTGAAGCTGGAAAGTGTTTACAGAATACTGTTCACATCCTAATTCATGAATGAAATTTTAATTTCAACAAAATGTTGAAGCTGGGAAGTGTTTACGGAATACTGTTCACATCCTAATATAAGCATGAAATTTTAATTTGAAAAGAAGTTTCCTGAATTTTATACAATTTGAAAAGAAGTTTCATGAATTTTATACATATATTATAGTTATTCTGTGTGTGTGTGTGTTGTGTGGGTACGCGCATAAAATTAGTAATTATTGATAGTTTCATGTTCTAGGCATAAATTTCATTAGCTCCTATCATAATAAAAGTACACAATACGTAATCCAAATGTGTATGTACACACATAACACATGAACATATATTTTCTAGAGGACATTTACTATTCTCCAAAAAGTGATGAAATATTTTAGTTTTTCCAAATGCATAAATTCTTCTAACGTTGAAACCCTGGACAAAAGATGAGGAGGCATAATTGCCATGGAAATACCTAACTATCATCGAATTTTTTATTAGAAAATTACCAATTGCTTTTGATAGGGATATCAACACTTCAGTAGGTGAAGCAAAAGGGCCAAATGTAATGACAGGATATGAGGATGGAGCAATAAACTGTATTGTTGATTCTTTCCGCAGATCAATCTGCTCAAGAACAAAAAAAGAGACTATCAAATAGATTATTACTATAAGGGCGTAGACGTCTGTTCAAGGTTATAAATTACAAAAGGCCAAATATTACAGTACCTCACAGCGCCTTGTAGTGTCAGCAAGAATTCCAAGTGCCTCACCGTTAGGAAGAACAGCTAAAACCCATGGATGTGATTGATACAAGGACGTAGTTTCAGGTCCATAACCCCATGCATCTGTGTTCCACGTAAACACCTGAAAATGAAATGTAAAGTATACTGATATAAAGTAAATCTTTTTAAAAACTAAAATTTCATAAGATTGACTTACTCTTTTGCCCGTCCTCTCTAGATCACCACTAGCTTCTCCAGTTCCATAGAGTGAGGAACCTATAGGCAGCTGGTTCAGAAACAAATTTAATCAAATTTCAGAAGCCCAAGGAAACAACATAAGCAGCAAATTACACCAGGAAAAAAAAAGTTAACAAACTAGCACTCCCTAATTTTAAAGATAACCAAAATTTCAATATGACAATCAAAATATCAGATACCAGGAGCAAATAAAGTAAGTAACTGACCTCAAGTTTGACAACCTGCTGCTCTAGAAGACACTCAAACGTAGGGTTGTACAAAGGAACCTTCCGAGTAGAGATAGGTGTGTCTCTATCCCTGGTATTCGCAAAAGAAATACTGGGATATGCTGCATCTCGATCATTCACAGAACAATCAAAACGGAACGCTCCATCTTCCAAAATAGGCTCAAAAATCATACTCCCTGATCTAACATCGCTACCACTAGTAACCGCCTGTCCTTCATAATTAGCCATTTTGGACACAAGCTTCTCACAAAACCTCTTGCTTCTGCACACCAAAAAAGCAATAGTCACAACACAACCATGCAAGTGTTCAACACAGTCGTTGTCCAATTTTACCAAAATTATAAAATGATCATAAAAATACTTTCACTGGCACACAACGAAATTCAGAAATATCAATAATCAGGTAAAACTAAAAGCATCGTTAGTTCTCTATTTCTCTATCAATTCAAAGGAAAACACGCCATATTGAGTAATAAGCAACTCAAAATTCCAGTCCAAACTCCGATTGGCAACTAAACATGCAGGAAAGAGTTAGTTAGTTCTCAGTCTCTCGATCAAAGGAAATCACGTGACGGTTAGTTAAAAAAAAAAAAAACTGGAAATGCAACCGCTGGCATTGAAAGAGAAATTTAGAGTTCGAAAGTGCGACGCGGAAGAGCTAAACAGGATCAAGGAAGGAACCTGATATCGGTTATAGAAGACGTAACCTGGAGATGGAGATGGAGATGGCGATGGCGAAGTGGAGATAGTAAAAGAAGGGAACCAACTTTGTAACTGCTACTCCATACTAGTGCTTCCTCGATCATCGCGTCACGGCTTTTGGGTTCTATTTATGTCATTATTTTATTTTTAATTGTTATTATATTGATGCGTGATTGACGTTGCGTTTTAGTGCACAATTGAGAGTGGAAGAATAAATTCCACTTTGACGTTGAACAGTAGTGTTGTCCTGGGAGATGATTCGTTACATCTTCTTGGGAGATGATTCGTTACATCTTATTGGGAGACGTCGGCCGTCTAATCCAAAAATTTTGTAACTCGTCTAATTTATTATTTTCTCTCTTTAAACATAATTAACATTTAGTTACATCTTCTTGGAGACGTCGGCCGTCTAATTCAAAAATCTTATAACTCCGCTCTAATTTATTATTTTTCCTCTTTAAATATAATTAATATTTTATATATTTATTTATATATTTATAATTTTATCCTCTCGATCTTCGATTAATTTTGTAATTCTCATATTATTTTCTCTCTTTAAATATAATTAATATTTAATATATTTATTTGTATATTTACAATTTTATCTTCTCAGTCTCTTATTAATTTTCTTATCAATTTTATAATTCTCATATTATTTATGATTTTATTCCCTTAAACTTAATGATCATTTAATTATATATCTAGAATTTTATTTTTTCACTATTTCATCTTCTTTATTTCTTTTATATTTATTTATTATTTATTAATAATATATTATTTAATCCTAATATGAATGATTTATTCCTTTTATATTTCTTTATTATTTATTAATAATATATTATTTAATCAGAAGATCAAATTGTTTCATGCACTTCTGTGTTTTCTCTGTGAACAGAAATGATTCCATGATGATTTTTTGATGTGTTATAAGGTGGAAGCTAACGAAACAAAAAAAAAAGGTGGATGCTTGTGAAAAGGGTATATGATTCTGGAGATTGGAATTGAAATTTACATAACTCAGATAAGACATGTATATACAATTGTTTCACTTGTAAAATAACCGCCACTAACTTGATAAGAGTAATGTTCTTGAATGCATACAATTACTTAAATATTATAATTTTTTTCAAAGAAAAAACAATCTAAAATGTCATTATGAAACAAAAATCTAAAACGTAAAGAGTATGTTGACAAATAATTTTTTTATTTTTACAAGGAAGCATCAATTAATTATGTGATAAAAATCTAATGAGACCTAATAATTTCAGAAAGTATAGCACGGGATAAAAACCCATTAACTGAAAAAAAGTAGAAGAATTAAATAAATTCTGTAAAACAGGAGTTGATTTAAAACTGGAAGATAGTATCACATTTTAGAATATAGGGTCTAATTGTTGTTTACTGACTTTTTAATCTGGTATTTATATTTTAACATCATGTTTGAGATAAACATGGTCACTTAAATTATTGAAGTGTTGCTATAAAGTCTATTCAATAATTAACATAATCATTAAAATATAGATATTAGTTTAAAATCAAAATCAAAATATACATGCTGAGGGTTAAATAAGTTACATTCTTATGGAAATGAAGGAGTTACTTTCTAACGTCAATTATAACTTTCTAGTGTACCCTGTGTGAATGTGGTGTTAGATTCTAACACTCCCCAATATAGACGGATATGCTTTTGTCTGAATGCATTTTGCTTTCTGCAATGTCCATTTGTTCATCATCCATGGAATTGACCGCAAAATATTGCTGGGCTCAACTTCAATTGTTTCTTCCGATATCTATATCACGAGCACTTCAGCCTTCAGCTACTCTTAAGGATGTGATTGTTGTTGTTATGGGGTATTTGGACACCCCAAAAGATCATTCCTCCATTGACTCAAATTGCTAACTCTATTAAAGCAGGGGTTTTTTTGGTGGAAAATTTGTGGCTGGTAATCATTCATCTTCCATGACAGAGATCACTATGTTCAAATGTGTTTGTGTTGTAGGTCATCTTGCTTTTGCACCTTGCATTAAAGTAAGTGATTCGGATGAAGATGCCATTGGTAGTCCTGGAATATTGACTATGGTGCCATCTTTCTTGATTGGAGAGGTAGTTTTCTGGGATGCTTCGTGTTTGTACAAATAACCTTTTCAAAAATTGCTCTTTCTTTACCCGGTCTTGGTGAACATCTATTATTATGTACATATGTATTTCCTCTTTGTTTTTTAGTAATAGGCTTAGACTTATTTGTTCTAGGATTATTTATGTATTGACTTTATCTTTTTTAACAATATTCAAGGATGCAGTAAATGAACAGTGATTCAGTGCCAATCTATTGAGATCCTTTGAGTCATGGTGGTACTTTGTATGTCTATTCTATTGTAAATTAAGGGTATTGCAAAACTTAGAACGTGTTCCCACAAATTATAATGACCGTTTCAGAGAACGTGTTCTCATACGTTGCAGAAGACTGTTTTAAAGAACATGTTCTCACACGTTGTAAAAGACTGTTTCAGATAGCGTTGCAGAAGATTGTTTCAGAGAACGTTACAGATAACGTTTCAGAGAATATTATAGACTCACTACCAAGTCTTCTCATAACTGATACAGACATTCTCTTATAAATACATACAATTTCACACTCTTCAGAAACACACTTCTCTCATCTTCTTTTCTCTAATATTATTACTGTTATCCTGGGTAAATTTACTCTTTTGAGAGTTTTTTGCTAGTTTATGAGATCCTCAAATATTCCGAGAAGTTCATGTTGTATCATGGGGACTTGCGCAATACACCGCGAATAAGCCCTTTAAGGTAGTGCTTATACACGCCTCAAGAATAAAGTTTGTCTGTGTCAGCTTTTACAACAATCTTAAGATTCATGTATTGGATAGTGAAAGAAAGGGAATTATGAGGTGTTCATAGATCAAGGTTAATCTTCTTATTATGATTCATGTATGTTATTATGTGAAAATCAATTCATGTATGTTATTATATGATTATGATTCATGTATGTTATTATGTGAGAGTAAAAAATCTAAACCTGAAGATTAGTTTTATTGAATTAATAATATATAAAAATTATAAATTAAAATACATGTGGTATCAGAGTCATACTTATTAGATTTATGATTTTTCTCTTATGATAATTTTTAAATTATGTTTTTCTCAAATTAAGATAAATCCTAATTAAGAATTTAGGATTTCTATATCATATTAACAACAACCCTAATTTATGTTTTCAGTTACAATCAATTCCTTATTGAAGTGTGAATGTCCTTGTAATTCTTATTGAAAAGACAAATGATGTGATTAGGTTAAAGGTGAATCATGTATAAAATTGGTTTCACTGCATGTTATAATTACGATAGAAAATGTTTGGATGTTATAATTATGATAGAAAATTTTTGGATCAAAGTGATGTCATCAAACACATATTCCTTTTTCCGATTTATTACATCAATGCATCAGAGAAAATGAAAAATGCATTATGCATAATTATTTTATGTTATGGGAGAAGTTATGGAAAATTATTATATGTTATGGGAGATTTTCTTTGTGAATAATTAGCAGTTACATGTATGCAATGCATGACTTAAATCTACATATTATTTTGTCGATACGTGTGTAGGATATTATTTTGTACATATGTATAAGAAAGTTTGAGATTGTATGAAAACAATGGATCTAACCCCACTTTATCTTCGAGAAGAAAGGAAATTATTTTGCCTGTGGAAAGTCAGGTCATCTTCATGTACCTCAGTGCAGATATAGAATAAGAAACGACAATCCTCCTAAGACAAATTTAGCCAAAGGAGAAGATACAATTATTGCGGTCGTTTTCCAAATAAACCTTGTGACAAATGTGAGCAAATGGGTGGTAGACTATGGTGCTACCAGGCACATCTGTGCAAATAGAAGTGTTTTTACCTCCTATACTAGTGTGAGGATGCAGAAGAACATGTTTTTGTTGGTGATTCCAGGACAACTCTTCTCTTAGGAAAAGGAAAAGTTCTTCTAAAGCTCACATCTGGAAAGACTCTGGCGTTGAATGATGTGCTACATGAGTCATTAATCAGAGTTAATCTAATCTCTGTAGCACTATTGGGAAAAGTTAGGGTTAAAGTGTCATTCGAATCTGATAAGATTGTCATGACAAAAAATAATGTGTTTGTAAGGAAGGATATTGTGATCAAGGTTTTTGTTGTTGTTAACATTTCTGAGATTGTTAATAAATCTTGTTCTTCTCCTTATATTATTGATTCATATGATTTGTGACATTTATAGATAACTACTCTACATACACTAAAGTATACTTAATCAAAAACCGGTAAAACTCCCTATGAGTTATGGAGAGGTTATAAACCTAATCTTAAACATTTAAGAGTATGGTGGTGCCTAGCTAAGGTAATGTTACTCAATCATAAGAAAAGGAAAATAGGTTATAAAACTTCTTATGGTATGTTCTTAAGCTATGCAGAACATAGTGCTGCCTATAGGTTTCTTGTCCTCAAAAGTGATATAATTGAGCATAATACTATAGTGGAGACAAAAAATGTTGAATTCTTTGAACATATTTTTCCTCTAAATGTTAGTGAAACACCTAAACAATCTATCAATATTAATAGTGATAAAATATATGAGGATTTGAGGAGAAGTAAAAGATAAAGGAAGGAAACCTCCTTTGGAGATTATTTCTACACTTTAAAAATGATCCAATGAGTTTTTTAGAGACTACTAGGACTCCTGATGCAATACATTGGGATATGGTCATTAAGACTGAAATTGATTCAATTAACAAAAATAATACTTGGATTTTGGTAGATTTTCCTAAAGGAACAAAACCTATTGGTTGTAAGTGGATCTTTAAAAAAAGTATCATCCTAATGGATCCATAGATAAATATAAGGCAAGATTAGTAGCAAAGGGTTTTACTCAAAAATCCAACATTGATTATTTTGACACCTTTGCTCCTGTGACTAGGATTTCCTCTATTTGAGTTTTGTTAGCTCTAGCAGTTATCAATAAACTAGTTATACACCAAATGGATATTAAGACAACATTTTTGAATGGTGAATTAGAGGAGGAAATTTATATGACTCAACCTGAAGGGTGCATTGTTCCAGGTCAAGAGAACAAAATGTGCAAACTTTTAAAATCCTTGTATGGATTAAAATAAGCACCAAAACAATGGCATGAAAAACTTGATAGTGTTCTACTTTGTAATGACTTTTCAATTAATGATACTGATAAATGTGTGTACTCTAAATTTGAGAGTGGTGAATGTGTCATTATATGTTTATATGTAGATGACATGCTAATATTTGGTACATGCATTGACATTGTCTCTATAACTAAGTTGTTTCTAAGATCTAAATTTGAAATGAAAGATATAGGTGAAGTCAATGTGATTTTGGGAGTTAAAATCATAAGAAGGGCGATAGTATTTTTTTATCCCAAGAACACTATATTGAGAAATTTCTTAGGACGTTTGGACGTTATAATGTCAAACCAATGAATACCCCTTATGATGTTAACTCTAAGTTAAAGAAAAATAGAGAAGACTCAATCTCTCAACCTCAGTATGCCCAGGTAATTGAGAGCTTACTGCATTTAATGAGCTTTTCTAGACCTGACATTGCTTATGCAGTAGGTAGACTGAGTAGGTACACTTAATGTCCTAATCAAGAACATTGAAATGCACTTACAAGACTTATGAGATATTTAAGAGGTTCAATAGATTATACCATTGAATATAGTGGATTTCCCGTTGTACTAGAGATATCTCTAATTCAGATGAGACAAAATCCACTAGTGGTTATGTATTCACACTTGGGGGTGGTGCGATTACATGAAAATCAGCCAGGCAGACAATTATTGCAAGATTAACAATGAAATCTAAATTTGTTGCTCTCGATATGGCTAGTAGTGAAGCTGAGTGGTTGAAAAACTTCTTAGTAAATATTTCATTAGGAATGAAACTGACCCCGTCTGTATCAATATACTGTGATTGTCAATCGGCAATAGTTACAAATAAAAATAAGAAATACAATGGAAAAAATAGACATATACAATTAAAACATAATTTAATGAAGCAGCTGCTAAAGAATGGAACAATTTCCATTGATTATGTGAAGTCAGACCGGAATCTAGCATATCCTCTAACAAAACTTTTAGCGAGAAATATGATTTTAGAAACGTCGAGGGGAGTGGGACTTAAGCAACTTGTAAACAAACAGGTGATGGTAACCCAACCTTTGTGATTGGAGATCCCATGAATAAGGTTCATATGGGTAAAAACAAGTCATTTGTTAGTTCTGATAGCACTAAAATTGATTAAAATCAATTATGTTCATTCCTATGGTGTATATGTGAAAGTGCTAGATACTGCATTGTTGAGAGGTTAAACTTTGTAATTAAAATTTCATGTGGTGTACGAATTTTAGTCTAAACAAAGTTTTTAATGATTTCATATCCCTTAAGGGTGGTGTATGATTTGCAGCATACGCTTCATGAAGTCACATATATGAGTGTCAAGTGAGGTTGCTTGTATGAGATTTTTGCAAGATTTCTATAACACTCATGAATATTGGCCACGCGCATGACCTAGTAAGCACAACACAGGGACAACAACAAGAATTGTGAAGGTGTATTGTGATTGTTAAAAACCTCTAACACACATTAAGTTTTTTTGTTCATATAGCTTGCTACACCAACTACACTATGTGTTAAGTTTTCAGTCTAAGACTGATTTTGTTATACCAATGCATTACATCTTATATGAGACCCAGGATTTTCTTCTTTTTGTTCCTTTATCTCTTTTTTTGTTTTGCAATATGTGGGGGATTGTTGTAAATTAAAGGGTATTGCAAAACTTGGACCGTGTTATCACAAGTTATAGAGACCGTTTCAGATAACATGTTCTCATAAGTTGCAGACACTACTAGAAAATATACTTTCAACGTCGTTGTTTAACGTCGGTTACTTCTTAGCCGACGTTGAACATGCTTTCAACGTCGGTTGGTCAACAACCGACGTCGAAAGTCGAATTTTGACACATTCTACGTCGTTTTAGCATGCACGACGTGGAAAAGTAGGCTTTCGACGTCGGTTATGCCCTCACCCGACGTTGAAAACCCTTCTGA